TGGTAAACACCTGTACAGTCCATTGAACACTGTAGGCCCTACTTCTTTCCCTCACAGCTTTGTTTTCATTCCTGTCAATATAGCACTACCCTGACTACGGTCTTTAGACACTGGACCTGTTTTTGCACACGAAATTTCACCATAATTTCTCAGTGATTGCCTCTTCATGCAAAATTCCCAATCACATCAACTGCATTTTGCCTGCGAAAATTTGCCGAACAATGGTAAATGTGACCGCATCTTTGAAAAAATTCCAGAAAAATGTAATATACGAAAAAGAAAAAAAAGACAAAAGAAAGATTTCACAGTAACAGTCTGTGCTCACCTGTGATTGGGCGCGCAGCATCAACAGCAGTTCCATGTTTTCATTCGGAGGCAGCTGGGACTTGCTGCAGGGCACTCGGGGCAGCTCGTTCTGGCATGTACGTGTCTTGTTTTTGCAGAAAATTTGCACCACCACATTTTCATCCAGGCCACTAACAGCACACTCATAAAAAGTTCCATTTAACAGAGCTACACTAAGCCACATGACAGGGGCAATGCAGGCTCCAGACAGCACTTTTACAAACACTTGCAAGCATCCCACAAAATTACCCCTGGGGCAGAGTTTGAGAGGGTTGAGACAACACCCTGTATATAACCGCCAAAGACGTGTACTAACAAAGAGACCAATCGCCAGCAAGACAACAGCAGGGCCGAGCAGAAACGTTAATCCATAGGCAAAATTCTGTTGACGGTTGCACGGACACTGGAAAGACACCATGGAGAAAATTCGTTCACTACCTATTGTCAAAATAGCCATGAAGCTGTAGCCAATAGTGGTCTTCTGATTGGTGAGGAACTTTAGGACAGTCTTAAACGAATCCATAGCTGGTACAGGCATGGCTGCAACACTCCTAAACTGATGAACAGAAATGAAACTGAGATGATTTCTGCTATGGCACTCCCTTTTCTCACTCTCTTATTATCACTCTGTCTTCCACACTTCCTTTATCTCCTCCTTTTCCGTCTCTGGCTTCTCCGCAGCTCGTCAAATCCCTCCCCTGTCATTACCCTTCCCCCTCCCATTTAGTGAAGAACTGTGACCAAAACCAGCCCATCAGGTTCTGCCAGAAGTCACAACAGACTACAGATGTGTATGGGCACAATTACACATACATCACGCAACAGCAGTCAAACCAAATTAAATCCCAACAATGCAGTTGTTGTTTAAGTAAAAAGCTGAGATTTGTAACTGACAACATGCTTTTTATTATTGGAATGCCAGAATCTGGAGGTTGCTAGCAATGGAATGTGGAAATCCAGAGGCTGGAACAGCAGATTAGTGCATGTTAGGTCAAACAAAGAGTGTATTGCAAAATTATGTAGTGCAACATAATGCTTTACATTAGTAAAAAAGGAAGTGATTTGTTCTGGTTATGTACGAGGAGACAGTTTCTGTTCTGCTCTGGTGTATGCCCACTGTGTTGCCCTGCACTTCTCCCATAAAGACTCAGCTTTAACGCTAACCGCAAATGGTAGAACTGAATGAATATTGATTTTTTTTGTTGAGTGAGCTTTTAGCAGTGTAATTTTCAAATTGTACATGATTATTTCATGAAAGAAGGCATTAAAATGTTGCCTGTTGAAATATGAGATCACTAATCATCATGTGCATGATACAAGTTAAAGTGACACTAAAAGTGTAGCATTATAATGTAACTCTTTGTTTGTACAGTCCTTTAGAAATGGCCAGGGCACAGCTGTTCAAATACAAATGAATGAGGAAAACTCTTTAAACTGATTATTATGAAAAAAGTTTTTTATTGTTCATATATAAAAAAACATATACTGAAAAACTAAACTAAAATCAAACAACAAAAAACAAGAAATGTTAAAATCATACAGTTGTAGTATTCAAAAGAAAAGCTCAAATAGGGATATAGGAGAACAGTGAACTGACACTGTAACAGGCACAGAAAATAAAGAAGCCAGTACAGCTGTTTATGCCCATAATAACAGGCTATAGCATGAAAAGCTGTCAACTAGACGGCGTCTACAGGACCAGTTTGCCCTCGTCCACAAATGCAAGTGCTGCTGGGTTTGACAAATCATTGTCAGATCTCACTGAAGCCCTTACTAATGGATTTTCAAGGTCCTCACAAGTGCAAACATACTTGTGCAGGATGCTGTAGTATTCGTCCATGCTTCGGAACTTGTAAAAAGAAGATATCTTCTCCCAAGCCTGTCTGGGTGGACTCTTCATAGGAATGGGTTTGGTTAAATCAAAGAAACTTGTTATGTTTCTCTTTGCAAGCTTCTCAGCATGCTGAGCTGTGTAGCTGTCCAAAAACTCACTCTCCTTCTGAGTGTACATTCTCCAAAACTTCAGCTGCATGTAACTGATGGGAGAATAGCATCTGGCCGTGCATGTGAGCAGAAAGGTGAACGTCATCACAGAACCTATCAGGATCCAACCAAGTACCTAAAAGTATTATTCAAATATTAAGAGACATAATTATTTGTTGAAAAATAAAAATGAGATACATTAAAGCACAGATATCATAAATGTTTTTAAGATGACTGTATGGGACCTTATGAATGCAAACAACAAGGTAGGACATTCTGTGGAATTGCTAAAATAACCCTTTTACCTAAAAAATTAACAACATTGATTTAGGCTTCTGCCTGTAAAGGCCACTCCTAAGAAATTTGTCTTTGTTTTACTGAAAATGTGAATGAGAAAATCCCATTTAACTAAACAATATACATTTATATACAAAAAAGATTTTTTGTTGTTTATGACTACGAATTATGGACTACACGTTAGTCAGAGTCACCTAAAGTCTGCGAACCCAGCTATCAGGAAACGTAATCAGAATTTAGTTTTTTTCAAACATATGAACAATCATTATTCCAGTAACGTTAATAGAATGTTTGTTCAAAGTAATCTGGTCTTTAATGATGTTCTCAAATCATCATTTATACATAGTTCATGGAATGTTTTTTTTTTTGAATGAAACTTTTCTTATGTTACTACTTTCAAAAGTAACGTTCCCATAACGTTTGCAAAATGATCAAATGGAATGTTCCCTTAACGTTCGCAAAATCAAGAAAAACGTTAAAATATTTTTTTAAATGCACATTTCCTAGAACCTCTCGGAACCTTTTTTTATTTGTATTTTTTTTAGCTGGGAACATACCTTGATTTCCCTGAGGCTCCAGCGATTTAATCAGTGTCAGTGCATTGAAGAAACAAAACTATTGCCATTATTTATTATTAAGTTACCGATTTAGCTACACATCACAAATACATTACAAAAACGGTTTTAAAATGTCTTTAAATACAAATCTCAACGTATTGTAACCCCGACAATTTCTGACAAAAATTCCTCTCAATAGTCGAACCCCCTGAAACTCACTATTAAACTGAGATAGGCCTATTGAGTCCAAGTCAGGCCACAAGTAAAACTGCTAATGTCTGTCCGAGTCTTAGATTTGAGATGTAGCCTCAGTGAAATGACTTTACATTTTTCTCGGACAAAAACTAAAATGATGCCATGTCTCTTTAACCTTTCGCCTCAGTGCTACTGCTCACCTGCGACTCTGCGCGTATGATGGACAGCACAGCCATTCTCTCACTCTGCGGAATAGCGGTCCCATCACACGGGAACTTCTCCAACTCTGTCCGACAGTGAGGATACTTTTCGTTGCAAAGGTGACGTCTAAAAAGTGTAGTGTTGGCGCCAGTCATTGAGCACTCGAAATACACCCCTCTGAGTAGAGCAACTGCGATCCAGCTGAGAGGTGCGACCATTGCAGTCGTGGTGATTTGAAGAAAAACACACAAGAAGCCAATCGCGTAATTAAAACGACATAGCCTCGATTTCCTAAGGCACAGACCCGTGAACAGTTTCCATGTTTTATTGCTCAACATGTAACTTAAGATGAGCAGTGCAAGCGCGGGTACGAGGAGACAGACGTTGCCATAAACGAAATTCCAATCATTGCAAGGACACTTAAAAGCAAAGACCGAGAAGATGTGCTCGCTACCTGCAGTTATAAGAGCAATCAGTCCGAATCCTAAGTTGGTCTGTTGTTTCTGAGTGAAACTAAGCAAAGGTTTTAACTTGTCCATGGCTGCCAGCTCTTTGACGACCTCTTTGTTCTTAAACAATAAACCATGAGATGACACTCTCAGTTCCGTTATGAGACACCGAGTGTCACCTTCAGGCGGGCGCGCAATAAAAGCACACAAAGTCAAAGTGTTGTACTTAATTTAAGAAAAACAAGTTAATGTTTGCTTTTCAGCTGTAATGGGAAACTGACTTTATGAAAACTTAAGAAAACTAAAAACACAATGTAAGTGTTAAGTCTACACACCAGTTTAGTTGAAAGGCATTGCAAGCGAATGTGGCACAGTATGCAAAACACTTCATGCTCTCAATGACGTGTGAAGTTGCAATCTGCATATTAGTTCAACTACAATCTAAAGCAGTGGTTCTCATTCAGGGGCCCGGGACCACTAGAGGGCCTCGGCAAACTTCCAAGAGGCCCTTAACATGACTTCAATTATTTTAATTTTAATTGATTTTAAAAGTAAAAATAATAACATCTTACAACTTAATGGCCGTTGCCAAGCTAATAAATTACTCACAATTTTTATGCAATAAAATATTTTTTATTATATCATTTTAAGATTTTTAACCGTAATCATTCAAATTAAGGGGTTACATGTGGCTTTTTAATGAAAAACTACATTTTACAAATAATTGTAGTTTTACATTTATTATGTATTATGTTTAACATTTATTATTTTTTAACTTGTAGGTCTATTTATTTGCTAATTATGTTATAAAATAACATATCTAATACCAATATATGCTTCACTCAAAATCAGTAAGAAAATCTCACAATGTTTTTGCTGGTTTGCACTTCATATTCGGCGCCTCGTGCACACACATGATCCCGCGCATGTGACCGCAAGAGGCGGGGACTCTAGCGTTTACAGAAGCTCAGATGCATCGGGCATAGACGTGACGAGGTACGCCCCCAGTCTCTAGACCGTTTTCTCCAGGGGTCGATGCAGATATTTAGTTTGGGCCAGTCAAAGTTGCCAAGTGACCCGACGTCGGATAAAATCGAGAGAAGACATTGGACACGAAGGTACACTGCGTGCGTGCGCGCGCGCGCTTTTTAGCCCGGTGTATGTTTGTATATTTACGATGAATATTTTCTAACATATAGAAGCGGTTAGACAGTGATTACGGATGGATGCTGAATGGATGTACCGACAGAGTTCACAGCTGATTGTCATGAGGTTGCAGTTGGGCGGGTCTTAGTGAGGATTACATTTATTGTTGCTCAAATATTCTTGGTTCTGCCCTGTTGCTAGGAGACCTTTGACAGTTGAGGTTTAAAAGTGATTGAGAAGGGTCTTACAACTAATCACTCTGATCTGCATTTAGTGACAGGGTTGCTTTGTGTTCGTGACGTAATTAACTTGTCAAAATAATAATAATAATAATAATAATGGACAAAACAACATCCGCCTACAGGTTAATATTATTATTATTATTATTATTTTTTTTTTTAGTAATATAACCTACGCTTTGATTTTAACGCGACGGTATCTGACTTAAACTGTCTCCTTTACTTTGATGGATTAAGGGGTGTATTCTGGTTAAGTAGGTCAGTGACAGGCTGAAGATGATAGATGGGACCATTTGAGTGACACACCAAAGCTATTGAGAAAAAATATGTCATACTGTATCATGGACATTCGTTGTATGTCTTTCCCTTTCTCTCTTCTTTTCTCCTCCATCGTCCGTGGACTACAGTCTGCTGGCTGAAGGTCATTTTGATATCAGATCAATATCTGCTGTGATGCCTCAGACACGATGGGCCATTAGGCTCCAATGAGTTCTGCATCAAATCGCCTAACGTTACTCTCTGCATTGAAACCATTTGACCATCACACGAGGCTCTATGAGAGGAGCGCCACAGACTGATTTTGGATCAGAATGAACTTTACCTGTAGCTGTTTTGTATCCAAACGCATTGTGCATCAATAGGGTGAGTGGTGTTTTTATTATGTTTTTTTCTATTTTGTTGTGCTTTGTATGAGCATTACCGCATGAGTGAATCTCCCAAAAATATGTCTGGGTCATATTTTCACTCCGCTGCTTTTCATTTAGAAAATAAAGCCTGTTTATAGGACCATTAAGATTTTTTTTGATATCGTACTATATTTTTATGACAGTTATGCACATTTCACCCCCAAAATTCTAAATAAATTAATATGCATTATTGTTTTAATTATTAACTTGTGTGCAAGTTTCTTTATACTCAATTTTTAGATTCTCTTTATTGTACGAGGAAATTGTCCTGTCTAATGACACAGTGATTTTATTTTATGGAATTTTGTTTTATGTTAATTTAATTTGAAATGTTTTCATTTTTAATTATTTTGTTATTTTATTATTATTACTATTATTGTTAAAATCAGCATAAAGCTAGTGCAACAAGTGCTACCATAATGTATAAATACAATAAAAAAAATAACTACTGATTTTTTTTTTGTATTACAATATTAGAATTTTGTGAGGAAATGTGTTACATTTTAATATAAAGCCTATAGCATGTAGTATACATCAGATGATTCTCAATGGATATTTTACTCTGATTTGTGCAGCCAAATCTTTTCAATCTTTAAAAGCCCTTCATCTCAGTAGCTCCATCGAGATGCTCAGATATTCAGAGATATTCAGAGATATTCAGGCTATCAGAGGCTCCTCAGATATGTAGGCTATGTCTTTATTCACTCTCAGTCTGTGCTGTTTCTGTTCTCTCACTATAGAGTGCTGCACATGCTCAGTCGGGCCTGTCTGGTGTTTTGTAGTATCAGCAGGAAGCAGTCCTTCCTCCTCCTCTTCCTCCTCCTCTCTCCTCCAGGAGCATGCCCTCTGAGCCTCCTCCCAGGTACGTTCTGCACACCTCAGTCTACCTTGAGAGGTGACTGTGTCCTCAGCTCTTTGGTGAGATTTAATTTGTTGGATTTGATGGGAGGTGTTGTGACATGGTCAGCGTTTTTTAAAGAGCTCTGGAGGATATCTGAGGTCATCCGAAGCTTTTATCTCCCAGAAGGCGGTACTACTGCATGCTAACTAATACTTTAAAACATTTTTTAAGTTTACTGCAAAAAATACTTGTGACGATGTAACTGACATTCCGGAGGCATTTAGGTGGCTATGTTCTATACTCTCCACTTATAAGAATAAAATCATCAAACATGAATATTAACCGGTAATAAAATGTTTTTTGTTACTGCAAAATATAGTGAAAATAGCACAGTTACAATGGAGAGCAACATGATGACTTCATGAATACCCCTCCTCCCAGCCCAGCAACTGTTGTCAATAATAACAATAATAACATTGATCACAGTGTCACCCTCATAGGGCGTCTGTGTAAATAATGCTACATCACACTACAATAATGCAGTTAGCATTAATTAAATAATGTACAATATAGCATTTAGCTCTCCAATGTGCATAACTAACAAAAAAAATCAACAAATGTTGGTATTGCCCATATCCATTTGAATTCAAAGGAGGTTCATACTTTTTACTCATAAAAATGTTATTGTAAAAGTATATATTCTTCTTAAGAGTGTTATAAACAGGGGTGCACATAAGTTATTCGGTCTGGTTCTCATGAGAGCACCTGGAGATTTGGTTTGGTGCTCATACTGCATATAGTGTGACCCATTAAATATAACTTTAAAGGGGTCATCGAATGCCCATTTTCCAGAAGTTGATATGATTCTTTAGGGTCTTAATGAAAAGTCTATAACATACTTTGGTTAAAATCTCTCAATGGTAGTGTAAAAAACACCCTTTTTACCCTGTCAAAATCAGCTCTCTTTCCAGCACGCCGTTCTAGTCCGTGTTGCTTTAAATGCTAATGAGCTCTGCTGACCCCACCCCTCTCTTCACTGGGGTGACGAGCAGACTGTAAACTTCAGCCGCGAAACTTGCTAACTAGCAAATATTAGGAAATGCGATTTGCAAAGATTCATAAAAAAACCTTATACTCACTTCTTCTGTAGATGAAGCTGGATCATGAATGATTTGGTCGAACTTAAACGCATTTAGGCAGATCGGAAATCGGCGCATTCCTTTCAAAAACGAAAGTAACATTAATCCTCTGCATCTTCAGTGGCTCAGATGTCGGGAGTAAATGACGACTGCTATGTTCATTATTACATCCAGCAACAAAAAACCTAAATCGCTTAATCTGAGACGTTCTTGTCTCACATTCTTGTCTTAAGGAAGACAGACTTGTCAATCAACTATCGTGGGAGCGGCCTGTGCAGAACTATGTCATTCTGACAGGAATCAGAACAGCCTGATTTGAGAAAGGGGATTTTAAAATAGGAATTAAAAAAAAAAAAAAGCACTGGGTGGATTTTAACATTATAGGATGGATGTGTACACACACTTCCAACATGCTAATGAGCTCTGCTGACCCCGCCCCTCTCTTCACTGGGGTGACGAGCAGACTGTAAACTTCAGCCGCGAAACTTGCTAACTAGCAAATATTAGGAAATGCGATTTGCAAAGATTCATAAAAAAACCTTATACTCACTTCTTCTGTAGATGAAGCTGGATCATGAATGATTTGGTCGAACTTAAACGCATTTAGGCAGATCGGAAATCGGCGCATTCCTTTCAAAAACGAAAGTAACATTAATCCTCTGCATCTTCAGTGGCTCAGATGTCGGGAGTAAATGACGACTGCTATGTTCATTATTACATCCAGCAACATAAAACCTAAATCACTTAATCTGAGACGTTCTTGTCTCACGTTCTTGTCTTAAGGAAGACAGACTTGTCAATCAACTATCGTGGGAGCGGCCTGTGCAGAACTATGTCATTCTGACAGGAATCAGAACAGCCTGATTTGAGAAAGGGGATTTTAAAATAGGAATTAAAAAAAAAAAAAAGCACTGGGTGGATTTTAACATTATAGGATGGATGTGTACACACACTTCCAACACACATTTATGTTCAAACAACAACAAAAGTGAATTTTGCATCCGATGACCCCTTAAAAAAATGAAATAATAATAGTATTAATAGTATTATTGCACTTTGTTTAGTTAGATTATATTTAAAATAAAAAATTATCAAAATAATAAAGTGTGATAATACTATAATAATAATAATAATAATAATAACTTTATTTTTTATATAGCACCTTTAAAACAGTTTACATAATAAAACAAACAAGTAAAAATACAACACACGTGACAACCAATTAAAAACACTAAAATATAAAAATCTAAACAGTCAAGAAAAAGCTAACCTAAAAAAAAAGAACCATAACCAGAACCATACTTTGGTTCTGTGCATTTCTAATTTGTCGAGGGATATATATATATATATATATATAAGTACACACATATTAAACACAAACTTTCATTTTGGATGTGAGTAATTGCGATTAATCAATTTGACAGCACTGTTATATTTATTGCAATTATGGGTAATAATGTCAGAATTGCAGGATACAAACTCGCAATTGCAAGAAATATTAAATGTTCTAAAATCACAATTCTGAGTTTTTTACTAGCAATTGCAAGTATTGGGAAAAACTGTTGGGAAATTCCTGTCAATTCCTGTCACCATCAGTTCCTCTCTAAACTATATAAGTTATATATATATATATAACTATAACCAAATGGATTGCACCTTGTTTTAGAAGACAGCAGAATTGGATTCCACACCTTTTTACAGAACTTTTAACTTTTACGTTGATTCTTAACTTAATATTCATATGCATATGAAAGAAAATGAGTATGGATGCTGTCAAGCTCCTAAAGAAACCATATGCACCATAAAAGTAGCGCATTACTTATATATCCCAAGTGTGCTGAACTATGAGTGAACTATTCCTATAATGATAGAATGAACACGTTTATTCACTGCTGATTCAGCGTTTTATGAACGTCTATGGGAGCTCTTATTATTTCAGACTATTTTTAACAAAATGCACATCATATATGCAGAGCCTTACACTTTGCATTGGTAATTCTCCTGCTTCCATATTTTTATTCATGCAGTACATATCATACTGTTACATTTTTCATCCAACATAGAGTTCTGATTAGTACTGATTCAAAGATGGTTTGACCTTTAACCTTTACATTTTAGGCAATGACCTTTTCCTGGTGGCCGTACATGAGTTGGGACACGCATTGGGTCTGGAACATTCCAACGACCCCAGTGCGATCATGGCCCCCTTCTACCAGTACATGGACACACACAACTTCAAACTGCCTCTAGACGACCTTCAGGGGATCCAGAAAATCTACGGTATAGTTATCATCTCTATCACTTAATAATAATAACTTTATTTTTATATAGCACCTTTAAAACAGTTTCTCAAGGTGCTTTACATAATAAAACAGACAAGTAAAAATACAACACACACGTGACAACCAATTAAAAACACTAAAATATAAAAATCTAAACAGTCAAGAAAAAGCTAACCTAAAAAAAAAGAACCATAACCAGAACCATACTTTGGTTCTGTGCATCTCTAATTTGTAGAGGGAGTGCATTCCAAAGCCTAGGAGCGTAGGAAGAGAAAGCCCTGTCACCTACAGAGCGCAGCCGTGTCTGTGGAACTACCAATAAACCAGCTTGTGAGGACCGTAAATGACGCTTGGGTGTATATAAAGTTAAAAGTGCAGACAGATATTGAGCCTTATATGTGAGCATAATGATTTTTAAATCAACTCGGAACCTGACCGGGAGCCAGTGCAAAGACTTTAGAATTGGTGTAATATGCTAATTTTTCCTGGCACCAGTCAAGATCCTTGCAGCTGAGTTTTGCACACATTGCAATTTGTTAAGTGTGGTTTTAGGAACCCCAACAAGAAGTGCATTGCAGTAGTCAATGCGAGAAAAACAAAGGTATTAATAAGCAAAAGTTATATTTAAAAATTAAAAATGACTATTAAATAAAAATACAATTACTTTATAGTACACTTAAAAAATACAATGCTAATATTTACATAAATTTTTTAAAAATATGCATTTTCAACATTTTCAAGCTTTTATTCTGGTGGGTTGCCGGCAAATAAGTATGTGCACTGCCAGTTTTAACGCTGCAAAGTGAAGCACGTCATTGAATGAAATGTTTTGCTCTGAAACCAGCAGTGCGTAGCCTAGATTTATGCTTTCAGTTTGAATGGAAATCTAGTATAACAGTTAGCTGATCTAAAATGGTGATCGTGCATTAACAGCTGTCAACCATGTCGGTATACAAATGAGCGGTCTGAACATATTTACCAAGCGCATTTTTTATTTTGTTGCACACCTGTGCACCACTTATGTGCACCCCTGGTTATAAATATAAACAAAATATAAATGTTTTTTTTGTCATTTAACTTTTTTTTTTTTTTAAATTTGAACCTGTTTCACCCACAAACATAGAATACACAAACACAGACATTACCAAAACTGAACATCCAGAGATGTTTGTGTTTTGTAAACATACTGTACATACATACTGGAGGCTGTATGTATGTATGTATGTTTACAAAACATACATAAATATATATTACCATGTGGTAAGGTTAGTTAATCAGTTAATAAGTTTTACTGTAGTATTTCTGCATTCTATTTCTGTTAAATATTTTTTTTTTCAGGGGTACAGACAGAGAATGAGATTTAAATCTGAATGTGTTGAGCTGAAAAGAGCTATTCATGGCTCGGGAGCAGTGAGAATCAATGATATCTCACTTACTGAATAGATGTATTGATAGACCTAGTGTTCAGCAGCAGGCAGAAAGACACATACGCACACATGCACACTTCATTGTTTCTGGGCACAGGATTCCATGATGAGATGTTCATGATTTCCGAGCATAGGCTTGTCTTGCAGCATTGTTCTTGTGTCTCAGCTCTCAGGACATGCTGACAGGACAGAGGCTGTGTCAGTCCAAATCCCACCAGGACTCTGTCCTCTCTGCCCTTAATCAGCAGCGCAAAGACGGACTGCTCTGCGATGTCACCCTGGTCGCCGGGGAGCAGAAATTCCATGCTCACAAGGCAGTTCTGGCAGCCTGCAGTGATTACTTCCGGGTGAGATTTTACATTCTGGAGGTTCCATCTCATGAAACATGATCAGTAACAGTGTTTCTTTAGGTTTCTATGCTCTGTATAAAGCTACACTTCTGCAGGTGTGTACTAAAAGAACAGTTCTCCCGAAAATATGTATTTTTGCCATCATGTCATTCCATGTCTATGGAAGCTCATTTCTGCCACATAGGAAAGAAATTGTGTTTTTCAAATCATAATTATGACATAAAAGTCATAATAATAATATACAAAAGTCAGAATTATGACATACTAGCCATAATTATGACATAAAAAGTTGAAATTATGTTTAATTTCAATATAAATTATAAAACAAAAAGAGATTATAAGATATAAAGTCATAGTTGTGACATACAAAAAACAATTATGACGAAAAGTTGAAGTTATTAGATAAGGAGTGACTTAAAAGTCTAACTTATGTCATAATTATGATTTAGTATCTCTTAATTCCAACTTGTGATGTCATAATTATGACTTTTTATTTCAGAATTATGATTAACCAAAATATGATGTTTTTCTTAGGTGGCAGAAAAGGACTTCCATGAATATCCATATTTTTGGAACAGAAAGGGAGATGTTAGGCAGAATGTTCACACTGTCTTTTTCCGTACAATAAGAGTGAATGGGGACAAGTGCTGCTGAGTTCCAAAAATGACAAAAAAGCACCATAAACATACCACAGAAGTAGTCATTCGACTTGAGTGCAAAATTACAAATCTTCTGAAACCATCCAAAGCTTTTTAGGAGAAAAAGTCAGAAATGTAATGTGTACCTGTAAGTTGTTATACTAAAAATAATGTGTACATATACATTCAAATATGTACCAAAATGTTTTGTGCCAGGTTTGAAATCACTATGAAGTTATGGGAGCTGTTACAGCATCATTCCCTTTCAATACGTGGAAAAGAGCAGTGTAAACATGCTGTTAAACATCTCCTTTTGTGCTTCACAGAAGTCATGCGAGTTTGGAACAATGTGATGTGCGTAAACGATGACAGGATTTTCCTTTTTTAGCAGTGCAATCCTGATTCAAATATGTACAGTTCACATGGAAGGCAAGACGGGTAATGAAAAGTCGACAGCGGCCTGGAAACAGTATCAGTGAGATTTGATTTGGGTTTGTTCAGAAGATTACAAAGATGAAATAAATCCAGCTCTGCAACAGAGAGAAAGATTATCTTCACAGTTCAAAGACCAGAATTAAATAGGGCAGGTATATTTATCTCTATATGTCTCCTGGGAAGCTCTCCACCTCTGTTGGGCTGGAATGATAAGATTTTATCCTTCTGTTTTTGATTTTTGCTCTTGGTTTCTGATGAGGACACGTGCCTTTGTTAGCGGTCGTGGCTTATGTAAAACATGGACTCATCCAAAGCTTCAGTCAATATAATTACTGTGTACACAAATCAAAGCAAGCTGTTGGCTCAGTTTGACAGCTACCCTTTGATGTTGTCACGGTCCGGATGTGTGGAGGCAGGCAGGACGACGAGGACAACAAGAATTCCAATACTGACTTTTAATGTAGACACAACGGACGGACTGGACCGGACCGGACCCCACCCCCACACACGCACCATGCACGCGCACGCACACACGGTAACATTCACAATAACCGACCCTCAAGCTCAAACAGACAGGAACTAATAAATTGTGGCTAATTAGTGGCAGACAGGTGAGCACAATGACGGTGATTAAATAATGATTAGACGGGCTAAACCAACACAAGGGGAAGAAACCACAACAAACAGTCCACAGGGGTGTTACAGATGTAGTATGCCTGCAAGGTTTGTATTATTCCTGATTTCTATTAAGTGGAACGGTTGAAAAGCTTTAAATAGGCAGGCATGCATGAGCATGTGTCTGATGCTCTACTGTTAATACCAAAATGATTTGTGTTAGAAAATTAATCCTAAATCATAAGTTTCACTTTGGCATACAAGTGGTCCTGCATTGTTCGTGCATGAATTATACCTACAATTGTAGGGCTTGTTAAGGAGAGATGTGTTATTTGAAACACAAAAAGATGGTGAAACAAACCTTATATGAATGGAAGAAAGCACCCAGAACCATCCTAGAAATGTGTCAGCAAGTTCTTTCAGTTAAATACCATCTATCTATCTATCTATCTATCTATCTATCTATCTATCTATCTATCTATCTATCTATCTATCTATCTATCTATCTATCTACACATTTGCTTGAGCTTTTTGTAATTAAAAAAGAGTATGTCTATATGCAGTACACACACACACAAGTAGGCTATACAAGTGTATCTTTAACAAATTAATTGCATCAGCAACAACAATCACATGACACAAGTAAGTTCAGTGACTCAGATGATGATTCAGTAACCACTCTGGCCGATTAACTTCAGTGAGGGATTCACCAGACTTATTCAAACCAGTAATTAATCTTTTTGAATTATTCATTAAAAAAAAAGTAATTTGAGTAATAAGATTAATTTGTTTGTGAATCAGACTACACTGGTAGTGCTGTATGTTGTTTTTGTCTGTTTTGTTCTTGCCGTTGTTTTTGTGGTGCACTGTATAGACATAAAACTTGCATTCACAGCTCATGTGAAATACGATTGCGTGGTACTGAAGATTCACAGTACAGCAATGCTGGAAACACTGATGTGAAGCATTTAATAAATCTGTATTGTCATATGGTTCAAAAGGCATGTGTTGTAAACTAATTAGCTCGTAAAGCTGTTGTCTGACCAGCTGCTCTACTTTTCCAAGGTCAGAAGTCAGCCAGTCAGACATGTGACTCAGGACTGGTCATCCTTAATACCACAATCCCCTTCCAAAAAAACCCTATAAGTCTTGCTTTTGGGCAGTGGTGTCCCAGTAACGAGCTCTCTAAGTAGCGTCAACAAACCAACAACCCTCAGCTCTAATGAGTGCTTTTGAAAGTCTGAATGTGAGCTGAGGTCAGGCATTAAAAAAGTGCTGCTCTTAAAATAGATAATAGAAAAACGCGGCAGACTTGTACCAGGCACATCAAATGTGATATTACTACTGGGGAAAAACTTTCTGAAGGTGAGGTGACAAAGATAAGATGATAAACATTTGGCATCTGTTTTCAGCACACGGAGGCTTCAGACTGAGCCAAGACCTGCATTAGATGTCTATTGATTCTTTTAAAGGACTAAGCACCGATACTAATTTTAATCCAGAACCAGGCTTTTTTTTTAAACACTGGATGTTAATCATTAGAAGCATTAGGTTTGATCAGTGGTGTTTGGCAGGTGTAATGATGATCCAATGTCCTTTGACTTCCTCTTCTCCATGGGCTCTGATCAATGACCATCCTACACTCGCTCTGTGACAGCAATCAATGCTTTTGATTAGTGTACTCCTGCCAGAGAACACAGCGGGACAGTGCTGGCCTCTTGCTCTCTTTATTTTGTGTGTGTAAAACTAAAGACCGCACTGATTGATGGTCATGGACTCACTTTCATTTTCAGAATGATACTCTTTAGACTTGAATGAAGAGTTTATTGACGTTTTTATTTTAAAATCTATTTACAGGATGCTGTATTACTCTAGTTCTGTGGTGCATCCTGCTTATAAGTTTGTGTGTGTGTATCTTCAGGCCATGTTCAGTCTGTGCATGGTGGAGAGTGAGGCAGATGAGGTAACTCTCCAGGGTGTGACTAGCGTGGGACTGAAGCACGCACTGGACTTCGCCTACACAGGCCAGGTAAATTCAGCATAGCCCACACAGCTACATAGAGCCTGAACATGCAAAACAAACAAAAATTGACTGCCTCAAGCAAAGACAGGTTTCTAGGTTCTGGAAGGATAACAAATAGGAGCAGATAAGTGAAATACTTGTGAATAATCATATTTATTCTAGAGCTTCACAAATGGGCTTATAAACATCTAATTCTGGTTAAATGTTATTATATGTATATATGCCATATTATTATATATGTTACTGTACATTTGTAAACTGAGCTCATTTTATCCCAGAGATATCGTATTAGATTACTTCAAACTGAACTACACAGTGCGGAGTAAATGCCTCATCTGCATCAGAATGTTATGATTGGCCTACGGATGGACATATCGATACAGAAGTATCGATATATTCATACTGATATCAGTATTGAAAGTATCGATACTCAAATAAAAAATATCAATACTAAAGTTTTTTTTTTTACCAGTGATTTTGTTCATTTACCAAGAAATTTAATGCGTACAATATGCACTGATTTGAACGAATAATATATGTTAGCAAAAATTTGGGTAGGACAGAACTATTTTCCTGCTCATTCTGAACACAGAACTAAACAATCAGAGAGAGTGTTCGCTCACTGCTGACACTGCATTCAAACAGGGCTGCTTTTCCCAAAAGTATCAGTTCAGAACAATTCTTCAGAGGACAGAAAAACATAAAATTTTTGAGTTATTTCACAATAAACAAATTGAAATTGTTGCCTATAGTTTGTGCAATTACATTTATTTAAATTGAACGCTTGAAGTTCATATTGATCATGTTCTATTCTGTAACTAATGTTAATCTAAATAATACACTGTCAGAATAAAGAGGTTGTATTGTATGGGTGCAACTGGCAGTCTCTTATGATAATAAACCATGGTTTTACTATACAGTGACTGTAGTTTAATAGTATTTAAATGTTAAAATGCTTGTCAAATATAATGTTAAATGGGTATCATTACCTATTTTAGTCTTAATAATTAAATAATTAAATAATTTAAAAGTTCAGCTTATGGGTATCGATATCGACGATACTGACCTTTGAAAGTATTGGTATCGTATTGAAAGCAAAATAAGTTGTATTGCCCATCCCTAGATTTACCCAGAGTCATTAAATTTTGTATTTCAACGGCTCTGGATTGGCCTAAAGTAGACGTCCTATGTCAGCTCGTTCTGAACTCGTACATGCTCATACCAGTAATCTTGTGCTGCGTTCACACAGAGCATATTACCGGTAATATACTGGTAATGTTATAACTTCTCATACCGGTAAATTGCCGGAACAAATTTACCGGTATTTTTGAAAAGGTCCTGTTCACACATGATCTCTTAACAGTAATTTACTGGTAATTTACCAGTAAAGTCTGTATGTGTGAAAGGGGCTATTGATCAGTAGTGGATCAGAAGTGACAGTAAAGACTTTTAAAATGTTACAAATGATTTCTATTTCAAATAAATGGTGTTCTTTTGAATTTTCTATTTATAAAAACAAAAAATAAATCCTGCACACTATCTACACTTATGTATCAAATGTATCAAAATATACATTTATATTGAAATTATTTTTTAATAATTTTAAATTGAAATACATTTTTAAATATATTCAAGTTGAAAACTTATTTTAAATTGTTATAATATTACTCAATTGAACAGTTTTTATTGAATTTTTGATCAAATAAATGTACCCTTGTGGAGCATAAGAAACTTAATTCAATAACATTTAAAAAAATCTTACCAACCACAAACATTTGAATGGTAGTGTAACTGAATTGGATCAATTGAAGTGCTCACTATCCTCTCAGTTAAAATAACTAGTAGTCTGATTTTTTGCTCCTGGATGCATGTGTGCTTTAGTTGCTCCAGCCTGAATTTTTTTTCTTTTGCATGATTTGAGCTAACCATCTGTGGTGCAGAGAATGCAGCATATTTTGTGGCTTATTTTGATTGAGCTCTTAAGCCTCAATGAGAAGAATTCTTTTCTTTTCAATGTTTTAGCCTATTTCATTTTTATTAAAATGAAACTGCATTTGTATGATCATATAATGCACTCTGTATATTAATAATGATTATTTTAATGACTTTGCAATCTAAGGATCATGAAGTATTTAATATAGTAGTCTGCTATACACATTATTATAGAGCTGGCTTAAAATGCAACACTTAGCCTACTTTTAGACAATATTTAACACAGGGTCACTGCTCTGTCTTTCTCTTCATCAAGAGGTCCTTGGCCTGAAAAAGGCAGAAGACCCCTGATTGCAAGATTGTGGTTTCTTAGGATAGTCTTACTTCGGTCCTTTGTCTGTAGATCATGCTGGAGCCAGGAGTGATACAAGATGTCCTGTCTGCTGGAAGCCACCTTCAACTGCTGGAACTGCTCAGCCTCTGTTCCCACTATCTCATTCAGGTGTGTTTATGAGTAATTTCTGCCCATGTCAGCAGGTACTACATATAATTTCACTGTGTAATCAGATCTTTCTTTTACACCATCATTGTGTTTGTGTTAGATTTTATTTCTATAAAAGAGCTACTGTATTCCTGCTTCCTGTTAATTTATTAAAGGAATAGCTCTGAAAAGATCTGTCATCATTCATTCACTCTCATGTCATCACCCTCATGCTCTTTTCCATTTGATTACAATGAATGTGTTTATTTGAAGCTTTAAATAACAATATAATTATCATTAATCTATCTATCTATCTATCTATCTATCTATCTATCTATCTATCTATCTATCTATCTACACATTTGCTTGAGCTTTTTGTAATTAAAAAAGAGTATGTCTATATGCAGTACACACACACACAAGTAGGCTATACAAGTGTATCTTTAACAAATTAATTGCATCAGCAACAACAATCACATGACACAAGTAAGTTCAGTGACTCAGATGATGATTCAGTAACCACTCTGGCCGATTAACTTCAGTGAGGGATTCACCAGACTTATTCAAACCAGTAATTAATCTTTTTGAATTATTCATTAAAAAAAAAAGTAATTTGAGTAATAAGATTAATTTGTTTGTGAATCAGACTACACTGGTAGTGCTGTATGTTGTTTTTGTCTGTTTAGTTCTTGCCGTTGTTTTTGTGGTGCACTGTATAGACATAAAACTTGCATTCACAGCTCATGTGAAATACAATTGCGTGGTACTGAAGATTCACAGTACAGCAATGCTGGAAACACTGATGTGAAGCATTTAATAAATCTGTATTGTCATATGGTTCAAAAGGCATGTGTTGTAAACTAATTAGCTCGTAAAGCTGTTGTCTGACCAGCTGCTCTACTTTTCCAAGGTCAGAAGTCAGCCAGTCAGACATGTGACTCAGGACTGGTCATCCTTAATACCACAATCCCCTTCCAAAAAAACCCTATAAGTCTTGCTTATGGGCAGTGGTGTCCCAGTAACGAGCTCTCTAAGTAGCGTCAACAAACCAACAACCCTCAGCTCTAATGAGTGCTTTTGAAAGTCTGAATGTGAGCTGAGGTCAGGCATTAAAAAAGTGCTGCTCTTAAAATAGATAATAGAAAAACACGGCAGACTTGTACCAGGCACATCAAATGTGATATTACTACTGGGGAAAAACTTTCTGAAGGTGAGGTGACAAAGATAAGATGATAAACATTTGGCATCTATCACAGCTCATGTGAAATACAATTGCGTGGTACTGAAGATTCACAGTACAGCAATGCTGGAAACACTGATGTGAAGCATTTAATAAATCTGTATTGTCATATGGTTCAAAAGGCATGTGTTGTAAACTAATTAGCTCGTAAAGCTGTTGTCTGACCAGCTGCTCTACTTTTCCAAGGTCAGAAGTCAGCCAGTCAGACATGTGACTCAGGACTGGTCATCCTTAATACCACAATCCCCTTCCAAAAAAACCCTATAAGTCTTGCTTTTGGGCAGTGGTGTCCCAGTAACGAGCTCTCTAAGTAGCGTCAACAAACCAACAACCCTCAGCTCTAATGAGTGCTTTTGAAAGTCTGAATGTGAGCTGAGGTCAGGCATTAAAAAAGTGCTGCTCTTAAAATAGATAATAGAAAAACGCGGCAGACTTGTACCAGGCACATCAAATGTGATATTACTACTGGGGAAAAACTTTCTGAAGGTGAGGTGACAAAGATAAGATGATAAACATTTGGCATCTGTTTTCAGCACACGGAGGCTTCAGACTGAGCCAAGACCTGCATTAGATGTCTATTGATTCTTTTAAAGGACTAAGCACCGATACTAATTTTAATCCAGAACCAGGCTTTTTTTTTAAACACTGGATGTTAATCATTAGAAGCATTAGGTTTGATCAGTGGTGTTTGGCAGGTGTAATGATGATCCAATGTCCTTTGACTTCCTCTTCTCCATGGGCTCTGATCAATGACCATCCTACACTCGCTCTGTGACAGCAATCAATGCTTTTGATTAGTGTACTCCTGCCAGAGAACACAGCGGGACAGTGCTGGCCTCTTGCTCTCTTTATTTTGTGTGTGTAAAACTAAAGACCGCACTGATTGATGGTCATGGACTCACTTTCATTTTCAGAATGATACTCTTTAGACTTGAATGAAGAGTTTATTGACGTTTTTATTTTAAAATCTATTTACAGGATGCTGTATTACTCTAGTTCTGTGGTGCATCCTGCTTATAAGTTTGTGTGTGTGTATCTTCAGGCCATGTTCAGTCTGTGCATGGTGGAGAGTGAGGCAGATGAGGTAACTCTCCAGGGTGTGACTAGCGTGGGACTGAAGCACGCACTGGACTTCGCCTACACAGGCCAGGTAAATTGAGCATAGCCCACACAGCTACATAGAGCCTGAACATGCAAAACAAACAAAAATTGACTGCCTCAAGCAAAGACAGGTTTCTAGGTTCTGGAAGGATAACAAATAGGAGCAGATAAGTGAAATACTTGTGAATAATCATATTTATTCTAGAGCTTCACAAATGGGCTTATAAACATCTAATTCTGGTTAAATGTTATTATATGTATATATGCCATATTATTATATATGTTACTGTACATTTGTAAACTGAGCTCATTTTATCCCAGAGATATCGTATTAGATTACTTCAAACTGAACTACACAGTGCGGAGTAAATGCCTCATCTGCATCAGAATGTTATGATTGGCCTACGGATGGACATATCGATACAGAAGTATCGATATATTCATACTGATATCAGTATTGAAAGTATCGATACTCAAATAAAAAATATCAATACTAAAGTTTTTTTTTTTACCAGTGATTTTGTTCATTTACCAAGAAATTTAATGCGTACAATATGCACTGATTTGAACGAATAATATATGTTAGCAAAAATTTGGGTAGGACAGAACTATTTTCCTGCTCATTCTGAACACAGAACTAAACAATCAGAGAGAGTGTTCGCTCACTGCTGACACTGCATTCAAACAGGGCTGCTTTTCCCAAAAGTATCAGTTCAGAACAATTCTTCAGAGGACAGAAAAACATAAAATTTTTGAGTTATTTCACAATAAACAAATTGAAATTGTTGCCTATAGTTTGTGCAATTACATTTATTTAAATTGAACGCTTGAAGTTCATATTGATCATGTTCTATTCTGTAACTAATGTTAATCTAAATAATACACTGTCAGAATAAAGAGGTTGTATTGTATGGGTGCAACTGGCAGTCTCTTATGATAATAAACCATGGTTTTACTATACAGTGACTGTAGTTTAATAGTATTTAAATGTTAAAATGCTTGTCAAATATAATGTTAAATGGGTATCATTACCTATTTTAGTCTTAATAATTAAATAATTAAATAATTTAAAAGTTCAGCTTATGGGTATCGATATCGACGATACTGACCTTTGAAAGTATTGGTATCGTATTGAAAGCAAAATAAGTTGTATTGCCCATCCCTAGATTTACCCAGAGTCATTAAATTTTGTATTTCAACGGCTCTGGATTGGCCTAAAGTAGACGTCCTATGTCAGCTCGTTCTGAACTCGTACATGCTCATACCAGTAATCTTGTGCTGCGTTCACACAGAGCATATTACCGGTAATATACTGGTAATGTTATAACTTCTCATACCGGTAAATTGCCGGAACAAATTTACCGGTATTTTTGAAAAGGTCCTGTTCACACATGATCTCTTAACAGTAATTTACTGGTAATTTACCAGTAAAGTCTGTATGTGTGAAAGGGGCTATTGATCAGTAGTGGATCAGAAGTGACAGTAAAGACTTTTAAAATGTTACAAATGATTTCTATTTCAAATAAATGGTGTTCTTTTGAATTTTCTATTTATAAAAACAAAAAATAAATCCTGCACACTATCTACACTTATGTATCAAATGTATCAAAATATACATTTATATTGAAATTATTTTTTAATAATTTTAAATTGAAATACATTTTTAAATATATTCAAGTTGAAAACTTATTTTAAATTGTTATAATATTACTCAATTGAACAGTTTTTATTGAATTTTTGATCAAATAAATGTACCCTTGTGGAGCATAAGAAACTTAATTCAATAACATTTAAAAAAATCTTACCAACCACAAACATTTGAATGGTAGTGTAACTGAATTGGATCAATTGAAGTGCTCACTATCCTCTCAGTTAAAATAACTAGTAGTCTGATTTTTTGCTCCTGGATGCATGTGTGCTTTAGTTGCTCCAGCCTGAATTTTTTTTCTTTTGCATGATTTGAGCTAACCATCTGTGGTGCAGAGAATGCAGCATATTTTGTGGCTTATTTTGATTGAGCTCTTAAGCCTCAATGAGAAGAATTCTTTTCTTTTCAATGTTTTAGCCTATTTCATTTTTATTAAAATGAAACTGCATTTGTATGATCATATAATGCACTCTGTATATTAATAATGATTATTTTAATGACTTTGCAATCTAAGGATCATGAAGTATTTAATATAGTAGTCTGCTATACACATTATTATAGAGCTGGCTTAAAATGCAACACTTAGCCTACTTTTAGACAATATTTAACACAGGGTCACTGCTCTGTCTTTCTCTTCATCAAGAGGTCCTTGGCCTGAAAAAGGCAGAAGACCCCTGATTGCAAGATTGTGGTTTCTTAGGATAGTCTTACTTCGGTCCTTTGTCTGTAGATCATGCTGGAGCCAGGAGTGATACAAGATGTCCTGTCTGCTGGAAGCCACCTTCAACTGCTGGAACTGCTCAGCCTCTGTTCCCACTATCTCATTCAGGTGTGTTTATGAGTAATTTCTGCCCATGTCAGCAGGTACTACATATAATTTCACTGTGTAATCAGATCTTTCTTTTACACCATCATTGTGTTTGTGTTAGATTTTATTTCTATAAAAGAGCTACTGTATTCCTGCTTCCTGTTAATTTATTAAAGGAATAGCTCTGAAAAAATCTGTCATCATTCATTCACTCTCATGTCATCACCCTCATGCTCTTTTCCATTTGATTACAATGAATGTGTTTATTTGAAGCTTTAAATAACAATATAATTATCATTAGAGTATATATCATAAGAATATATGATGTTATATTCTCCTGAAGCTTTTGTGTGTAGTCAGTATTCCTTAATGATTTTGAGCTGATTCTGCAGAATTCCATAGACTTTCCCCATAAATAAGCCCAGAAAATGTGAAAAAGATCTGCAGCCTTTTCATGGCTCACCACTGCATTTAAAATGTGCTTGTTAATAATTTTAACCAGTAGATGGCAGTCAGTCTCTGTGTCAAGCACTTTTCGTCATCCTGCATCTGTGGAACATCCTGAGAGGATTTATCTCTCCGTTGTTCTTTCTTTTACTTATAATTTTCCAGGCTACATTTTTGGATATTGTGGACTTTGATGAGATTCAGCTCTGTTGAGCTTCTAATAATAATTTATTATAACTGTAATATATACTGTATTACAACTGTATGTGTGCATTCGTGGTGATATCTTATTTTTATGTTTGTGTGCTTGAATCAGGGCATGTGAGATTTTATTTTAGACTGTAATGCTCAACTAGTTTGTGTTCATAGAGTTAAGCATGAATAAAACCTCTGACCCCCTCTGACTGTGGATCTGTCTGTATTTATATCTGTGCCTGTAGGAGCTGAACAGTTTTAACTATCTGGACCTGTACAGGCTGGCAGACCTCTTCCACTTACCGGCCCTAGAGGAAGCAGTGGTGGTCTTTCTGGTGGATCACCTCTCTGAGCTGCAGAGGAACAGACAAGAGGAAGTGCTGCTTCTACCTTATCGGCTCCTCAGGGAAGTGCTAAAAAGTGACCGCCTCACCTCCCTTAGTGAGGAGGAGATATGGCAGGTGTGTGGGCCGCAAATTCACAGACTTTAACTCTTCAAAACAGTTATGAAATATTTAAGTTTCTACATCATGTGTAGTTCACTAATGTGAACCGCTTTGTACTGACAGTCGGATGTTCATCCACTGAAGCTCAGGATACTCTTTGGAACATCTTTAACCATGCTAAACAATGTGATCATTAGGTTTTAGACAAATTCGTGGAGCTCTCAGTGCTGCTGTCATTAAACCAAAACAAGGACAATCCATTTTGTAATGGACCCTTTTCACAGACAGTTATGATGCGTTTCCACAGTCATTAACATCGTAAATAAATTTTTTTATATGATAATTTTTAAATCTTTATGTTATACTACCTTGGCTTTAAATTACAGAACACTAGTTATATAAAAATATATTTGTTGTAGTTTCTATTCACCACTGTAGAAGTTTACCCAACTATGACAACTTTCCCTTCTGAGAACCCTGGAAATTTGAAAAGGGTCCATTAAAGTACAATTTTTAGATCAAGTTTTCACTATAATTTGTAATATATTATAATTTAATACTATATAATAATGTATAATTTAATAATGAACAATTTTGTATTGAATCAGAAAAGAACGTCTCAGACTTTTGGACCCTGTGACATTCTCTGTAATGGCTGCCAAACACATAGCGTCGTTTAGTCAGTCTGAATGCTTAAAGGGTTAGTTCACCCAAAAAAAAAAATTAGCCCATGAATTACTCACCCTCAAGGCATCCTAGGTGTATATGACTTTATTCTTTCATTCTTTCAGACAAATCTTTGATCTTCTAAGCTGTTTAATGGTAGTCAGCGGGTGTTGCATGCATCAGTCCAAAAGAAGTGAAATAAAGCGCATCCATCCATGATAAAAAGTGCCTCACACGGCTCCGGGGGGTGAACAAAGGCCTCCTGTAGTGAATCGATGTGTTTTTGTAAGAAAAATAACCATATTTAAAATGTAAAAATCTATTTAATCTAGTTTGCACTCACTGTTGTACACGAAAGCAGCTACGGGCGGATGATGTAGGACATCGGCGTTGTGCATGCGCTGCTCAGAAGTGACGAACGTGGAAGCGCAGCGGAGAGATCAAAACAAAACAACGGTCACGAATTGGAAGTACATAACGAAGATTTGTAAAGAAGAATGTCGGAGGATTTTGATATAAGCCAAGAGGAGACTGGTTTTCCTTTGCTAAAGTAAGGAAACTTTGCTTCCTTTGCTCCTGTAAACAAACGTTGGTTTTCATGAGACTCACCGGCGCATGTGCAACACCGACATCTTACGTCATCCTCCCGGAGCTGCTTCCGTGTACAACTGTTGGCGCAAGCTAGATTAAAGTGATTATTACGTTTTGAATATGTATTTTTTTCTTACAAAAACGCATCGATTCGCTACAGGAGGCCTTTGTTCACCCCCCGGAGCCGTGTGAGGCACTTTTTATTATGGATGGATGCGCTTCATTTCACTTCTTTTGGACTGATAACTTGCAACACCCACTGACTGCCATTAAACAACTTGGAAGATCAAAGATCATTTTTAATATAACTCCGATTGGAATCATCTGAAGGAAGGAAGTCATACACGCCTAGAGCGGCTTGAGGGTGAGTAAATAATGGGCTAATTATAATTTTTGGGTGAACTATCCCTTTACGGTCATATTCACAAACACAAACTCCACCTGTTTAATTTATGGTGTAAGAATGAGAAAAAAATGTGTGCAGACAATGTGTCTGTGTGTATGTACATACGGGCGGAGGCTGTAGTCTGTTAAGTAAATCTGAATGCTTAAGGTCATATTGACAAACAAACTCCACCTGTTTAATTTATGGTGTAAGAGTGAGAAAAAAAGGTGTGCGGACAATTTGAGGGTGTGTGTGTATGTACACACGGGCGGAGGCTGTAGTCGGTAGGGGGGTGGCTGTGGTGTGACTATTCATTTGCACCAATCAGGCATCCCCACCACACCCCCCACCCAGCCTCTCTCTGATTAGGCCCACCGCGGCACCATCAGCGCCTCAATCCCCCAGCTGTCACTCCGGCCGCCCTACTGATTGAAAACAATCAGCCCTCTGATGGCACAATTACCCTGACCCTTTAACCAGTCGCTACTGCCATAATCAGGCCCTGATTAGGCTGCTTTGGGCCTCCTTCACTTTGCAGAGAAGGTTAATTTGGGCATCAGACGGAAGCGTGATGGGCACAGGGGCTGGTGCTGCTGTCCGCTGGTCCGAACGTGCACCCACCAAATACTACCCTCGATATGGTTTGGCTGTCAATCATCGTCATGCAGAGTTCTCTGAGTCTCACGCTCTGGAAATCACATTTTCTTCCTCTTTGTTATTTTTTTTGTTCTTTTTTCTTCTCTCGCACTCACTCTCTGTCTGTCTTTCTCCGTGCGGGAGTGGGTGGGGGAGTTCATTTATTTTCTGCCCCGAGGAAGTTCTCTGATCCAGTGTGACCTTCACAGTCAACAGACGCTGCCTCGCTCACACCTCACTCTTTCTCTCTCTCTCTCTCTCCCTCCCTCTCTCATTTTCCACTCTCACTCATTCTCTTTCTTCTTCCTCGCTTTCTTCTTCTCTTCTGTTGGCTGTGAAAAGGAAGAAGGAGGGTTGAAAAAAACAACTAAAATTCAGAGAAAGCAAGAAAGCGAAACAGAACCTCAATAGAGCGTTACATGATTAATGACGCCGAACCTCTGCACACTTAAATTTAACTGTGTAATTATTTAGGAATGCACACTATTAAGGTACCAACGGTTATCGTAGAGATTACAGACTTTTTAATTTATCAGAATTGTATAGCATTGTGTCAATCTTATACTTTACCATACTCAATATATATTGGCCGATATTAGATCTTTAATTGTGCATTCAATTATCACTTCAATTGCTCACTTCAAGTTAATCAATGTTTAAAAACATTTAAGAATTGAATAGTCTATTATCCATAATAATGCATGAATATCTGTTTTTCTTACTGCACATTATAATGTTTTGATGCCTAAATTCACAAATAGCATTTAAAATCATTTTTATTTCTAATTTGTTTAGACAGTATTGTATAGAATTTTATGTCAGCAATTTATTGCTTATAAGCCGTAACATATAACTAGTTATAGGCTTATTGGCATTGGATATTATGTCTTAATTTTAATACGAGTAAAATTTAATTAAAAAATTAATTTTCATTAAATTTTTATTGTTTAATTTGAAGCATTTCTTAATGTTTAATATGCATAAGTAGGCCATAAGCAGTTTAATGAGCTCAAAAGTGGCTCTATTTGTTAGAGCATTTGACAGAGCAAAATCATCTCAAACAATGGCCAGAGTTTGGGGAAGGATTTCCTGTTTAACAGACAATGGCAGATGGGGGGAGTGTTTGGGGAAACCTTTTTGCTTGCAATCATCATCTCTGCAATTTGGTGCTGTTAGTGGCTCAGAAATAACACACTGTACCACAAACTCCATGTTTTTTTCTAGAAGTACCTTCCTGCAATTAATGCATATATATAAAATATATTACAAGCATATTACAAGCATTTAAATTTGCCATTTGTGTGTAGGAGACAGCTGCAGAATGTCTAGAGGTGGTGGCCCATGATCTCGGAATGCTATAATAAGTTCTCCGTCTCAGAGCTGATTTTGTTAAAAGCCACTTTGTTTCCACGAGAGTGGCATCGCTTATCTCCAGCCATCTCCGCCATACTCGCATGCCTCTGCAGCTAAACAGTCTAGATTGCTCTCAAGTTCAATTAACTCCCCTTTGTCTAACTCCCTTGGCTGCGCCGGAGTGCGTATGTGTGCATGCTTCACACGCACGTCTCATGTGCGCGTGATCCCAACCCCCCATCTCATCTGCAGCTGTCTTCTCATCACGGTATAGAGACACAATGTCTTAAGCATTAGCATACAATAATACAAAGCGTTGGCCCTGCATAGACAGACGGTATTGTGTGGATGGTGTGAGCTGCAGGCTGTAATATGAACAGTATGTTCTCCTGATCCTGAATCGGTGCTGAATACTGATGAGCCACTCTGCCCTGCTGTAGTTGCTGGTGTGTTGGCTGGAGCATGACTGCAGATACCAGTACATGGAGGAACTGCTGCAACACGTGCGCTACGGCCTGATGGAGGTCTCTGCCCTGCACCGTGTGGCCAACAGCCACCCCTTTCTCAACTCCAGCAGCACCATCGCCGCCCTGGTGGAGGAGGCGTTAGACTACCACCGGTCCATATTTGCGCAGCCTTTACGTCAGACAGCACGAACCATGCCGCGTTTTCAGTCCTTGACGCTATATATCATCGGCGGGCGCAAACGGGAGGTCAGCCGCGTACGGGAGCTGCGGTTCTTCAACCCTGCCACACAGGAGCACTTGCGCGTTGCGGGGGGATCGAACTGGAGCGAGTTGACACCCATGCCTGCTGGACGAAGTCACCACTGTGTGGCTGTCATGGGCAACTTCCTGTTTGTGGCTGGTGGGGAGGTGGAACATGCCACTGGAAGGACGTGTGCGGTGAGGACTGCGTGCCGGTACGATCCGAGGGTGAACCGCTGGACTGATATTGCACCGATGAAGGCGTGCAGGGAGCACTTTGTGCTGGGAGCTCTGGGACAGTATCTCTATGCCGTTGGGGGGAGGAATGAACTGAGGCAGGTTCTGCCCAGTGTGGAGCGCTACTGTCCCAAGAAAAACAAGTGGACCTATGTGCATCCGTTTATTTGTTTAGACAGTATTGTATAGAATTTTATGTCAGCAATTTATTGCTTATAAGCCGTAACATATAACTAGTTATAGGCTTATTGGCATTGGATATTATGTCTTAATTTTAATACGAGTAAAATTTAATTAAAAAATTAATTTTCATTAAATTTTTATTGTTTAATTTGAAGCATTTCTTAATGTTTAATATGCATAAGTAGGCCATAAGCAGTTTAATGAGCTCAAAAGTGGCTCTATTTGTTAGAGCATTTGACAGAGCAAAATCATCTCAAACAATGGCCAGAGTTTGGGGAAGGATTTCCTGTTTAACAGACAATGGCAGATGGGGGGAGTGTTTGGGGAAACCTTTTTGCTTGCAATCATCATCTCTGCAATTTGGTGCTGTTAGTGGCTCAGAAATAACACACTGTACCACAAACTCCATGTTTTTTTCTAGAAGTACCTTCCTGCAATTAATGCATATATATAAAATATATTACAAGCATATTACAAGCATTTAAATTTGCCATTTGTGTGTAGGAGACAGCTGCAGAATGTCTAGAGGTGGTGGCCCATGATCTCGGAATGCTATAATAAGTTCTCCGTCTCAGAGCTGATTTTGTTAAAAGCCACTTTGTTTCCACGAGAGTGGCATCGCTTATCTCCAGCCATCTCCGCCATACTCGCATGCCTCTGCAGCTAAACAGTCTAGATTGCTCTCAAGTTCAATTAACTCCCCTTTGTCTAACTCCCTTGGCTGCGCCGGAGTGCGTATGTGTGCATGCTTCACACGCACGTCTCATGTGCGCGTGATCCCAACCCCCCATCTCATCTGCAGCTGTCTTCTCATCACGGTATAGAGACACAAGCATTAGCGCATTAGCATACAATAATACAAAGCGTTGGCCCTGCATAGACAGACGGTATTGTGTGGATGGTGTGAGCTTAATATGAACATATGAACAGTATGTTCTCCTGATCCTGAATCGGTGCTGAATACTGATGAGCCACTCTGCCCTGCTGTAGTTGCTGGTGTGTTGGCTGGAGCATGACTGCAGATACCAGTACATGGAGGAACTGCTGCAACACGTGCGCTACGGCCTGATGGAGGTCTCTGCCCTGCACCGTGTGGCCAACAGCCACCCCTTTCTCAACTCCAGCAGCACCATCGCCGCCCTGGTGGAGGAGGCGTTAGACTACCACCGGTCCATATTTGCGCAGCCTTTACGTCAGACAGCACGAACCATGCCGCGTTTTCAGTCCTTGACGCTATATATCATCGGCGGGCGCAAACGGGAGGTCAGCCGCGTACGGGAGCTGCGGTTCTTCAACCCTGCCACACAGGAGCACTTGCGCGTTGCGGGGGGATCGAACTGGAGCGAGTTGACACCCATGCCTGCTGGACGAAGTCACCACTGTGTGGCTGTCATGGGCAACTTCCTGTTTGTGGCTGGGGGGGAGGGGGAACATGCCACTGGAAGGACGTGTGCGGTGAGGACTGCGTGCCGGTACGATCCGAGGGTGAACCGCTGGACTGATATTGCACCGATGAAGGCGTGCAGGGAGCACTTTGTGCTGGGAGCTCTGGGACAGTATCTCTATGCCGTTGGGGGGAGGAATGAACTGAGGCAGGTTCTGCCCAGTGTGGAGCGCTACTGTCCCAAGAAAAACAAGTGGACCTATGTGCATCCGTTTGACCGTTCGCTGTCCTGTCATGCAGGTTGCGTGGCGGACGGGCTGCTCTGGGTCTCAGGTACTAATACATTACTTAACATTTAGCCCACTCTCAGGCATTTATCAGGCATCTCTCAATGTGTATAAGACCCTTACTGAGGTTCTAGGCCCAAGATTTTAAAGCATAACTAGAATCGGTTTAACATATGATAATGGCTCCTTCTGTTCCAGGTGGTGTCACTAACACAGCTCAGTACCAGAATCGACTGATGGTGTATGACCCAGGACAGGTAATATATTGGTATTTATGTGGTTATGTGAGACTAATGTCGCTGGATTTAATGTTTAATATATAATATAATAATTTTATTCAGCAAAGCTGCAATAATTGATCAAAGTGACAGTAAAGACACTAATATTGCAAAATAATTCTATTGCTTAAATGCTGTTCTTTTGAACTTTCTATTAATCATAGAATCCTGAAAGAAATGTATCACCGTTTCTACATAAATATTAAGCAGTATGATTGTTTTCACTGTTAATAAGAAGAAACACTGATAATAAGAAGAAATGTTTCTCCAGCACCAAATCAGCATATTAGAATGATTTCTGAACGATCATGTGACACTGAAAGACTAGAGTAATGACTGCTGAAAATTAAGCTTTGCCATCACAGGAATAAATACATTTTAAAATATATGAACATAGAAAACAGCTACTTTAAATTGTAATAATATTGCACAATATTTCCCTTTTTACTGTATTTTTGGCCAAATAAATATAGCATTGGTGAGTGTAAGTGACTTCTTTTTTGAAAACACATACAGTATATGCTAGGGTTGGGTGTTGTTTGAATTTGATCAGTTCTAATTTAGATTCTTACGGATTCCCAGTTTCGACTCCAATGTGGTTAAAAAAATGCAGTCAAACATTTAGATATCAAACATATTTATTATGTCTCTTTTTGCAATACATTTAGTTGCAGCTGAATACCATGAACAAAAATCAACAGGCTACGTAAAAACTGGACTTGATTAAGAGCTGTTTGTGTGCAAAATAGAGGTGCACAATTCTGGATAAATTGAGACTTTTTTTATTGGAGGTTGTGATTCTCTTACGAACCTGAAGAAAATCACAACAAAATCAACATGTCATTTATGAATGAATGATTCAATGACTTACTCAGGATTTACTTATTTCATTACTGGATGAATCTGTGTTTTTGAATGAATCTCTTGAATGAATGATTCAAAGACAAATACATTTTAACAGCCCCTTTTCTACACCCACTGACATAACAACGTAATCGATAAGTCTTTATTTGAAGCATCAAATTACTTTCAAAAGGTGATTTTATTGTTTTTTTTGTTTTTTTTTAATCGCTACAGAACTTTTTCTGTACATCAGAACTTTTCCATTTTTATCCCAGTACTTCTGTGATTATTTTAATGTTTGTTTCAGAAATAATGATACTGTGTGGTTGAAAAGACAGTTTGTGAAGCTTTTTCATACATATACATGACAGCTGCTCTCTTTAGGACAGCGGCAGCGCGGACGTAGATTTGAATGTTAAAATCACACAGGGACGAACAGAGATGATCACACCATTGTGATCGCACACGTCAAAGGTTTAAACAGCTGAATCATTTTCATTTAGGAATAAGATCCCATTCTGGAATTGGAATAGATTTTCGATTCCCAACCCTAATATATGCTTACACAAAATATAAGATACACAAAATATGCTTGTTACTGCATTATTGTAGTTTCTGAAGATTATAATGTGACTTATTTTAATGTGTTACTATAAATATACAAAAATATTACTCTAATGGTTGCTGGTATAATATAATTAATTATACATTATAGTTTTGTGTTACCAGAAATTTTGGAAAGACATATTTTTAGTGTTATGTTAGCTAAATGATTGACAACAAAGTAAAAACATTATGATCCTTAAAAGGACTGTGGATTCATTTGCGAAAAATTAAATATGGCATCTACCCTGATTAAGGTCAAGGGTTTTGCATATGCCTTTAACATACAAACTGCCTTTAACGTTGAATAGAAATGAAATATTAATTCACATTGGGCAAATGCTCAAAAACAAACAAACAAAAAAATAAAACAAGAATTGAACAAGAATAAGTATTGTAGAACTTCTGTGGTCAGTGCAACTGTGTATTTTTCAAAGAGAGAGATATAAAGAAAGAAGGGGAGGAAAGAACAGGAGGCAGAGACTCATTGGTATTCAAAGTGGCTTTGTATTCACCTGCCAGGAACAGCAACCCCCTACCCACACTACCCTCAACAGATGGTCGCCAAACACACACATGTATATTCACACTCTCACTCACCACTGCTCGTGCAATCTCTGCGTATACACACACCTGTCACAAATAAATGCACACACCCATGCACTGAAATATGCTAAAGAAATAAATGTTTGCTCTGACAAAGTTTTGAATATATATATACAGTGGGTACGGAAAGTATTCAGACCCCCTTAAATTTTTCACTCTTTGTTATATTGCAGCCATTTGCTAAAATCATTTAAGTTCAATTTTTTCCTCATTAATGTACACACAGCACCCCATATTGACAGAAAAACACAGAATTGTTGATATTTTTGCAGATTTATTAAAAAAGAAAAACTGAAATATCACATGGTCCTAAGTATTCAGACCCTTTGCTCAGTATTTAGTAGAAGGACCCTTTTGATCTAATACAGCCATGAGTCTTTTTGGGAAAGATGCAACAAGTTTTTCACACCTGGATTTGGGGATCCTCTGCCATTCCTCCTTGCAGATCCTCTCCAGTTCTGTCAGGTTGGATGGCAAACGTTGGTGGACAGCCATTCTTAGCTCTCTCCAGAGATTTCCGTACCCACTGTATATATATATATATATATATATATAAAATAAATTCTGGTTAATTAATTGTATAGCTTGAATTTTTTTAAAATAATTACAGTATATGCTTTTCTTTCTTTTGTGAATCCCTATCTGTCGTAGAATCAGTGGTTAGCGCGCAGTCCCATGTTGCAGAGGAGGGTGTACCATGTGATGGTGGCAGTAAAAAGGCAGCTGTATGTGCTGGGGGGGAACGATCTGGACTACAACAATGACCGCATCCTGGTTAGACACATTGACTCTTATGACATAGACATGGACCAGTGGACACGCTGCACCTTCAGTCTTCTCACAGGTCACTAAACACTCACACACACACGTTTACTTAGCTATCTAAATAGGGACATTCCATAGGCGTAATGGTTTTTATACTGTACAAACTGTATATTCTATCACCCTACACCTAAACCTACCCCTCACAGAAAACTTTCGGCATTTTTACAATAAAAAAAAAACTTAGTTTACTTTATTTTTATACCAGTTTTACAAATGAGGATGTCCCCAAAGGGAGGTTTTTGGAAATTTAGTCAGGTTTAGCTCACTTTTTGGTACAAATTTGTCCCCAAAATATGGTTAAGTAGGTACAGACACACACAAACTCCAACCAAGTAATAGATATGATTATTCAACTATTATTGCAGAACACTATTCCTTTTCTCTTTAAAAGGTAGCATTTCTATATATTCTGTATTTGTTTTGAACCACTATATTGTATTCCTGCTACTGAACAGAAGTACTAAAGTGGTACCATGGTACAGTGATGGTTTCAGATAGATAATATGGTACTGAATGATTTATATACTCTGGTATTTACATGGTACTTTAAATAAATAGTTCACCCAAAAATGTTAGCATTACATCACTCGCTCACCAGTGGATCCTCTACATTGAATGGGTGCTGTCAGAATGAGACTGAAAACAGCTGATCATCACAATAATCTGCAAGTAATTGACACGACTCTAGTCTGTCAATTAATATCTTGTGAAGCGAAAGGCGTTTTTATCTTCAAACTGTTGCTTCAGGCTAAAATGCTAGTCCTTAATCCATTATATTGCTTTCTCCAGTCAAGTGAAAATGTTCTAAACATTTGAAAAACAAAGTAAATATGTCAGGGGATTTTGATGTGAGAGGACAACAGGGGATGGACATTCACTGGAGAAAGCATTATTATGAATTTTGGCCAGAAAAATTTCAGTTTAAAGTTAGAAATGCCTTAATGATGGATTTTTTCTTACAAACATGCATTTTTCGCTTTACAAGACATTAATTGATGGACTGGAGTCATGTGAATTATTTGAGGATTATTGTGATGCTTTTATCAGCTGTTTGGACTCTCAATCTGACGGCACCCATTCACTGCATAGGTTCTTCTATCTGTGAGCAAGTGATGTAATGCTAAATTTCTCTAAATCTGCTGTCAGAATCTCTACAAACTCATCCACATCTTGGATGGCCTGAGGGTGAGTACATGTTCAACAAATTTTCATTTTTGGGTGAACTGTTGGTAGCACATTTTATTCCATGTAGATCCCTAAGTGTGCAATTTATATTTTTATACATTTTCATTGTGCAGCATGTTACCTTTTAAAGGGATAGTTCACCCTCATGTCGTTTCAAACCCGCAAGCCCTTCGTTCATCTTCGGAACACAAATTAAGATATTTTTGATGGAATCTGAGAGCTGTCTGACCCTGCATAGACAGCAACGCAACTGAAATGTTCCCAAGTCCAGAAATTTAGCAAGGAGATCTGTAAAATAATCCATGTTCTTATAAATAGTGTTCATATCGGAATTATATCGTATCGACCGAAATTAAGAAATATATCGTGATATCAATTTTGTCCAGCCCTACAACAACGTAGGAAACAGATCCGGTGTGACACAGCTGACACAGAACAGCATACGCTGTTTACGTCCAGTGGATATTCTCCAAAATGGCACCAGGGTGATGCGGAGGAGACAAATTGTTGAATAAAGTTTGGGTTTAGAAACGACTTGAGGGTGAGTAATTAATGACAGAATTTTGGGTGAACTAACCCTTTAAACTTTTATTCTTCAATAACTACTGACATTTAATAAGAATGTGTGCAAGAAGTTTTTAGAAGCACAGACTTTGGAGACAAATTACAGTCATCCAAAAAACACTGCAAAGATTCATACTTTTCAGCCAAAATGAAAGACAAAGTGGCTTTTCACTTCTCCACTGTTCCTGAAAGGGTTAATAGACCATGGTAATATTCTTTACATTATCCTCTTAGGCCAAAATGAGGCAGGAGTGTCTGTCCATGATGACAGAATCTATGTGGTTGGTGGATATTCGATTTGGACAAATGAACCACTTGCCTGCATTCAGGTGAGTTGACTTAAGTGGTGCATTTATTTTTTAATGACATGTTGGATAATTAGTGTTGAGATGCCATCATTTGTCTGTTTGGCAGGTGCTAGATGTGAGCACCAAGGGGAAAGAGGAGGTTTTTTATGGGCCGACGCTCCCATTCGCTTCGAATGGAGTGGCGACGTGTTTCTTGCCTGCGCCATACTTCACCTGCCCCAACCTGCAGACCCTACAAGTGCCACATCACAGAATAGGAGCTCTCTAACCTCTCCGCTCATAACTCATTGAGGACATTCCCCCAAACACACTATGAACCAATGAAATCATGCAAGAGCCTATTGTACTTCCACATATTGTGACTGGTGGATGAAATCATCTTTGATCATACGTTGATCTCGTAGAGCCAGTGTTCTGATGGATGTGGAAACCTTCGAAAAGAAGTTAAGAGTTTTTTTTTATTGTCAAGCTTCACTGACGTTCATGCATTTCTGAACTGGCTGTGCTGTGGTGCTGCATCATGCTAATACAGTTTAACAAGCAACGTGTAAATCTGTCAGAATGATTAAGAGCCACTTTATGGCCCAGTCCCAAATGGTGCACTTGATATGAGCCTGCGGTCCGTCAAGTCCACAGGATTGCAGGTTGTCCCATTTATCATTTTAACATAAAAAGGGTGTTCATACCTCGCAGTGAACTTTTACTCAGCAATCCATGCAGAATTAAATCAAAGGAAATACACAAGAGCAGCATTTGGGACAGGGCTGAAGAGTTAAGGACCTGTTTTCATAGATTCTTAAAACTCCATCCACTCTCCATTCTGAAGTTAATGTTCTGCCGTTTTTATCCACACATCAGTTGAAGTTCCTTTTCATTGCATGCCATTTCTCAGCCTGTGACAAACTGTACTTTTTACCAAAACTCAGGATGAAGACCGTACAATTGTTTACTGAACGTGTATGACCACAGCTGATGACAAATGCACACGCAGCATCTTAACAATCTGCGTCAATGGCGGCATCTTGACTGTTCTCCATCCTACCACCAAAAACCCATTCCATAAGAAAACATGTAAGAGCACACTTTTTTACATAATGTCTCTAACAAATACAACATTTATGCAGTTGTGCAATAATGATTGACATTTGTGAGTTCTTGAATCATTGATTCACTGGATACAAACAAAAGACGAGCAGCAGCTTTATTCCCAAACCTATTTTTTCAGGGTTTCCAATCTACCAGTGAATTTCTGAAAGTTTTCCTGTCATATTTGATTACTGGGTAAGGATGTTTGAAATTATTTTGTTTCAGACTGATAGAATGAGTCATTCAGAAGGATTTGTGTAACAATTTGACCAGTTTATTGAGTTATGGGCAAGTTTCACGCTACACAAGTAATACTACATATATTTCTACATAGTTTTAAATATATATATATTGTATACATGTATTACATATATTCTATATGACTATAATATTTTTCAATCTGCTTTATAATCTAAATTATTTCCCTTTTTTTGTCAAATTTTCAAAATTATGGCTTTTCTATTTTATAGGCTAGAATTTTAACCATTTTCATGACATTCTAGACCGGATATTTTAATTTTTTCTCCATGAATGTAGGAACCAGTAAGCAGGTAAAACAATCTCACAGACTCAGTGAGAAACTTGATAAAATGTGGCAAGGGAGATCAAATGTAGGTCCTACTAATTTTGTTCAATATTAACAAGTAACGAAAAAAGCTGGTTTTATAGGCCATGAAGAGCAAGGTAGCTCACTGAATTTTGGATCTAAGCTAATATGTCACCATACTATAACAATTACTCTATTAGGGGTGGTAACGTACCTCATCACTGTTGAACCGCAGTTACTCTGATTAGCTCTGCGAATGAAAGATCGACGTGACGGATCTATGCGGCGACTGAGGTGAGAGAGACAGCGTGGCTCATTTGATGGCTCTGCTCTAATGGAAGTGTGATGCCTGTGCCACACTGCGGGGCGAGGTGCGAGGTGCGAGCGGCACGGCTGCAAGAAGAGACCGGGAGCTGAGATGGAAATGGAGGAGAGGGGGAAAAAGAAGGCTAGGAGGTAGAGAGTGATGAGAGGCTCTAGGCAATTTGTGCCCAGAATTGCATGGAGATTGCAAACAGTATGAATAGTTAAAGGAAAGGTTTGGTGTGGAGGTAATTGAGGGAGCCATCCATGGGTGTCATATTTGTTGTTTCATGACTGATTTTGATTGCTAGTCTGTGCAGTTGTCATAAAAGGGTTGATTGATAGCAGTAGACCATATGACAACTTATTGTAGCCTCTTTCCAGATGTGATGGGTAAAAATATTGATTTTCCGATTAATCGCTATCGTCTGAGCTATCTCGGTGTTTTAAATATGAAAACCGCCAGTAGGTGTCAAGTCACTACTGTGAGTCATGAATCATTTAATTCGTTCAAAAGGACTGATTAATTTCATTCAGGAACTTCCAAGTGACCGACTGGATATTTTAATCATTTTATCAACCAATTTGTTCAAACACGGATTTGTTCACAAACTAAATCCCAGCTAACAATTTTTGGTTCCCAGAACGTTATTCTAACGTTAATCTAACGTTCCCAGAACGTAATTTTTTTTGTTCCCAGAACGTTAATCTAACATTAATCTAACATTTCCATAACGTTATTATAACGTTCCCCTAACGTTAGTTTTTGGTTCACAGAACGTTATTATAACGTTCCCCTAACCTCTTTACTCCGATATGATCACCCCGCTGTATGTCAGTAATCATCCAGCACACTCGTGGCCCAGTATAGTAGCGGCATGGAAATTATCTGTATGGACGGCTAATCAGTATTATAAAAACCACATCTTGTTTTTAATCTATTGTTTAAGTAATAATCTGAGCACCATCAACCATCATATGTAAGATTAAATCTGTCCATTAATATGTAAGATTACGGAGTACGTTACCCAGATTTTACATTTCTTCAGCACCAAAAATCTTCAGCACTCGCAAACCATGCATCACACACTGTAGGCAGCGCAATCCTAACAACCTGCGCACTTTGCCTTTGTCTACTAAACACTACTTTCTTTTTCTATTGGTTTCTGGAATTGCCAGTCTGCTGTAAACAAAGCAGATTTTATTACTTCTATTACAAGTCATTCAAGACTAAACTTCATGGCCCTGACAGAGACGTGGATCAAACCAGAGGACAATACTACACCTGCAGCACTCTCAAATAATTTCTCTTTTTCCCACTCCCCCCGTCTGACTGGAAGAGGTGGAGGTACTGGTCTGCTTATCTCTAATGATTGGAAATTTAATCCTTTACCAGCTCCTTTGAGTCACATTCAGCCACTATTAGCCAGCCTCTTAAAATCCATTTTATAGTTGTTTATCGACCCCCAGGACCACTAGGTAACTTTGTGGAAGAATTAGATGTGCTGCTCTCAAACTTGGTTCCTGACACAACACATACCCCTACACATGTCACTTTTCGATCTATCTGCTATGGTTTCGTCTGCTTCCTTCCCCTGAGCAGTTATCATCTCTTGATGTTAACCGTGCTACTGATACTTTCTGCTCCACTCTTACGTCTTGTTTAGACAGTGTCTTCCCCTTGTCTTCCAGGCTAGGTCGTACCACCTCTTCTGCCCCTTGGCTATCTGATGTTCTCCATGAGCATTGTTCTAAGCTCAGAGCTGCAGAAAGAGTATGGCATAAATCACAAAATCCTACTGACCTTAATGTATATCGATCACTCCTCTCTTCATTCTCTGCTAATGCCTCCACTGCTAAAATGACATACTATCACAACAAAATTAACAATTCGCCTAACTCTTGCATGCTCTTTAAAAATTTTCCTCCCCCCTTTGTCCTCCTCCTCCTTCATCAACTCTAACAGCTGACGGCTTTGCCACATTCTTCATTAATAAAATTACAAACCTCAGTGCACAATTTGCCACACCACAAACTGTCAAACACATCTTACCAGCAAACATACACTCGTTTTCATCCTTCTCTCCACTCTCTGAGGCAGAAGTCTCTAAACTCATCCTTTCCAATCATCCTACTACTTGTCCGCTTGATCCTATTCCATCTCATCCCCTTCAAGCCATTTCTCCTGCCGTTGTACCTGCACTCACTCACATCATTAACACATCCCTTCACACTGGTGTTTTTCCCTCAACATTTAAACAGGCTCGTATAACCCCACTTCTTAAAAAATCCACTCTTAATCCAACTCTTTTAGAGAACTACAGACCGGTTTCCCTTCTACCTTTCATTGCAAAAACACTTGAACGAGTTGTGTTCTACCAAGTCTCAATCTTTCTCACACAGAACAACCTCCTGGACAGCAACCAATCTGGCTTCAGAAGTGGACATTCAACCGAGACTGCCTTGCTTT